AATAACCATTTACAATAATATTAGTTAAACGGGGTGCTCGAACCACCGCCGCAGTATTATCCAAACACTCGCGTAGCAATACTATTGTAGCTATAAAAAATTGTGATATCCCGTTACCAGGGGCTCACAGCGATTGCGACGAAATATCATCCGATTTCGAAACCTTCGAGTTTTTCCCCCGGACTTGGCAAACGTAGCGCGCGACGACGACAGATCCAATCGTGCCGCAGAACGTCTGTGCGTATATTATTGCATAAGTTTTTTTTTTTTTTTTTTTTTTTCCCCCGTCCGTTTATCTAATTGCGTTTGTTCGCCGCCGGCGGAAACACTTTCCGCCGTCGTCCGAACACCGGAGACAATATTACTATAAACTATTATAATGTTATCGTGTTTTCATCATTGCGATTTTACCGCGCCCATGCCTCCTACCTACATGTACGCGAACGATTAGAACGTCTCGGCGCCACCGTGACCGGTCTGAACCCCGACGGGGGAAAAGTGTTGTCTGTCGAGGGGTAGGGAAAAAAACGGGCAATTACCCAAAAACAGTAGTTCCACGTCGGTCGGAATAAACTACTCTCTATTATACGCACCTATCACCGTTTCTCCTCGTAAGCATAATTTCCTGTAGGCCATATCTGTTTACCGATAACATTCTTAACTGTCGTTTTCGGCGAGCAACAACAAAATATTATCCAAATGTCATTCCGAATAAAACGATACACTTAGTTCGTCTGCGCGTGAACGTTTTTTTCGAACGTATAAAAACCTCGTGTCGGTAAGTCGTTCTATCCCAATAATTTACATTATTGATTCGCAGAAATACTACTGCTCTTAACATTTGCAAAAGGCAAGTCAATTTTTTAAATTCCTGAATGCCTACCATTTCATTTAAGTAAATCGAAAATCAGTAGGTATCTTAATGGATAATGTCGTTTAATCTTTAATTTTATTAAGGAGTGAAAATTTTTAAATCACATGGAAGGAAAATTGTTTTCCGATATGATATGAATATGTTTGTGGACCAATTTTACGATTAAAAACACTCATGATGGTGATCCTGTGTGCCAGTAATTATTGAACTATTGATATTTTATACTAATGTCTCGGTAAAAGATTAGGGAGGTCAATAATATTCACTATCGCGAAACATTACCGTGAGTTGGGAGGGGGATTAAATACTACGGAAATCGATTTTCGCTGTTATACAGTGACCATTTTCAAACTTACGAAAGTGAATATGAATATTTCTAAGGTATTTTATTAGCACCTAAAATAATCATTTTTTCAGAAATGTCAGTAACATTTCCTAATCACGCAACCCCTTAAATTATATTGGCAGTGTGATATTATCATAAATTTAAATCAAACCCGGATAGTTTATTTCAATCGCTCGCATAGAATATTATAATATGAATTTTTTTTTTTTTTTTAAATTTATTACCAAACATTAAATTATAAAAGAAATTCCGATGCTTATAAAATATATAAGGACAGGTGGTAGGCGCACTGTTAATTCAATTTATAAAATATACGCGCAGATGTCTCGTCAATCGTCGTCGGAGACAAGACGCGAAAATCGAACGAATTTTCGTGCAATATCGAGCACGTCTAGAAAAAAAAAAAATAATAAATCAGATGACGAGCCAATTGAATTGGTTGAAAATTAAATTTTCGCGTATTGCACGGTATACGTACCTACTACCTATATATATAAATATATATACATGTTTTTCGTCGGATAATTTAATTGGGGACTAATTCGATTAAATTATTATTATAATAAAGTTTGAAATGCGATGTTTACGTAATATAGAGACTACTACTACTACTACTACTATTACTACTACTATTACTGTTTTGATGACGTTACGCATACACATTATAATATACAATACGGAATATACGTTTTAAACACAATTTATTATTGACGAGAACAGCTTCGCGAGAAGCTTATTGCGATTCTGGGTAGTACGTAATATTATTATGATGTAATGTATATATATATAAAAAAACCGAAAAAAATTCGACGACGAAAAATCCATTTCCGACAGACTGTGGAGCGGACGTGTGCGATATACTTTAACCCAATATTCCGGCGATTCTGTGTATTCTAACGCTGCCACAGATATATCTATATTTTATTATGCTGATCACATTAAAAAGTCAACTGACCCACTCCAACCGTAAGGACAGCGAAGATTATTATAATTTCCCTGTAGGTCTCGGTTACTGAATGAGAATACGATAGCCAACAGGAATACGACAAAAGACACACGGTGGCGTCGTTGAAATTCCGCCTTTAGTCGACCTGTCGAACATAGATTCTCTGACAAATAAATCAGAGTGGTTACCCCGGTTACCCCGAGTAAACAAAGACGGTAATACTTCATCTACGGCCGTGTGAAGTTATGGCACGCCGACGAAATAATTCGAAAGATCGAAATAATAATAAAATGTTTGTTCGCTGGTGGATGTTATAATATATTTCATACACTACACCCTCATCGTAGTCTTCTCTATTTCGATTCGTTCTACCCGTTTGCGTAATTACATACCCTATTTGAATTCGTCCCAAACCGAAACGTAACCTATTTGGTTTCATAAGCTTAAGGTGGTTTTAGAAATTATTACAATTTACAAAACATAACGTACTCGTTGATCCAAATCGGATAATTTTACAGGAACATAGTATCATACTATAAGAGTAAACCTAAAACCTAAATACAACGGGTTTTGTATTTACATACCACTTGGGTTGAACTCAGATATGGTCGGTAAATACACTTTTCGTTTCGTCACTATATTATCCCGGAAGTATAGAACATAAGCTTATACCCACCGCGGAACAGAGACGATTCTCGCTCGAAAAACGTGGACCGTGCCGCACGCACATAACCCGCAAAGGTAAAACCTTCCGGTCACAACCTTTGCCGCGGTCAAAATCACCCGTCCTAACGTTGCTTTTATATATAATGTATATACATGTACGTGGAAGCCGTCTCTGTGAACCGCACGTAATACTCAGATTTGAGGCATGGTTGATTTTGAGACTTATAAATTATTTTGTAACTATATTATTAGCGCCATAAGATATTGTTGAGTTTTTCGTACATGATCCATAATATTAGTGCCAACCACTAAAACAAAAAAAATTAATAGATGTCGACGAGTCATCAGATATGATAGAAAATATACAATAGATGAAAGAGCTTGGTAGAAGTGAGAATAAGTATTTAATATTCAGCACTATATATATATAAAAAAAAAAACCAGCTAATTTAGTAAATACGGGATTTTAAACGCAAATCGTGCTAATGACATAATTGAACCCGTTCTCTAAAGAAAATTTAGATTTCGGGGAGTTGTCTCTTTTTGTGCGATAGATTTTGCTTCACATACGCATGGATATTTAAAACGAGTCGTTCCATTGCTCTCCACTCACCCTCCCACTCTGAAGCCACAAAACTTGTCAAAAAACATACAAGTAAACACAGTGGTAGGAATGAGTGTATATTTTGTAAACTTCCGGTCGCGACCTTTGCTGCGGCCAAAGCGGGGTTCGTGAGGTTCACGGGGGTCTTGTATAATATAATATATTATTATGTAATTCGAGGCTACGGTCCCTACAGGACCGTTGAACCACTTGAAACAAATTAACACACGATCCGAGATTCCTATATATACAAATAAAAAAATCCTCTCGTAAGTACAATAATAAAAAATAAAAAAAAAACCTATAAAAAAAATAAATGCCCCGATCTTTTCGAGAACGGCGGAGGCTTTGGTCCACGAATGAACATTTATGGCCTAGACGTCTTCTCATACATCCCTCCCGAGACCACGAATCCCTTTCGAAGTAAACCCTAATAATACCACTACACTTCTACTCGTATATATAAATTCCGATCGTGGTTCTCGCGCGTGCTGTGGTTAAAACGTGGGCCAGTTCTGAAATCATCTCTATTTTCCCGGGAATCAGACGTCAGTAACAGCACTTTGTGTGTGTCAATGGTCTATGTCAGAGGTATATTTATGGGAGAGGAAGAGAATCTGAGTCCTCCGCATCCCGAATTGTGGGGGAAATAGTAGTTTTTAATAAAAGTAGAGCGGTGATAGGGGCTGTGGAACTGTATTCATGAAATAAAAAACAAAGGATATACTTCGCACGATGGATTAGCCACTGTTGCAGGTCATAAGTTAGGAAGGTAGAGTAGAAATTCAATGTAAAACTGTACGCAACGATTCAATTAAGCATTGTTATGAAAATAAATTCTGAGCTGTATTCGATTAAATATATTTTGATTGGACGTAATGTAAACGATCTGAAAACAATGTATTTCATACATTTTTTCATTTTCCAAATTATTATAAAAATCCCTGAAAAATCAAAAAATCACCTACCAAAAATATCACTTCAGTCAAATTTGCTTTCAGAAAAAATACTACATTTGAAAATCGGATCAAAATTTATTATTTATTATATATATTTATTATATTTAAACTTATAACCACCACCAATTATAACAATAAGCATCAACAAATATCATAATCAGCATATTATAAAATAACTAACAAAAGTGGTAATAATACATTTAATAAGGGTATTTGTTTATAATTATTATTATTATCATTATCATTATTTTAGATTCTGAGTGGAGTGAATGAGCTTGTGGTTTTACAAATGTGTTTATTTTTTTTTAATCTGTTTGTGACTTTTCCACCAGAAATATTTAAGTGTAGCACTTTTTCTAGAAGAAAATCCGAATGGACAGGTACTTTAAGGAAGTAGATTTTTTATTTTCCCTACCAGTTTCCCCAATAAATGGGGAAAAACATGTGAATACCGTAGGAAAAGCAGGAAATTAGGTATAATATTAATCATATATTATTAAAAAAAAAAAAAATATATAATTCCTATGTTATTTTACCATATTAGAACATATACATTGTTGACAAAGCAACGCTATTAATTGAACTCCTCTCAGAATCAGAATTGTTTTTCGTTAGCAATGGTTTATTGTTGCTAGATATACATTAAATTCCCCATCTACTATCTTCCTTACTTCTAACCTTTTGGGAAAATCGAAAAACTACCTCCCTTTAGTACTTCCCTTCAGCCTAATTTCCTTTTAGAGAAAGTGCTACACTTAAAAATTGGAGCAAGTTTTCTTTAGAATAGTTGCGTAAAAAAAAAAAAAAAAAAAAAAAATGAAAATCTCTGTAAAATCATAAATTTCTTCGATCCACTCTGTAGGTTAGGTTTCAAATAAAAAGGGAACAAATTACAGAAGATAAAATTTAGTAAAAATAAAAAGCCAAATATTGACTTCACTCCTCCTTCTCTGGGACTAAAGCAACGATGGCACAAACGATTGTCTGCGATATTTTAAAATTTGAATGATGTATCTTCGATTTCAACGTCTATATTAAACGAATAACACGACGTTAAAATACTGTAAACGATTTATGTTAAAGCGAATTTTTTATTATATGAAATTCACGTGATAAACAAATAAAATTTAATGTACCCGCGTTTGCTCACGTTAGTTAACATAGTTCTTATCTATATTTGCTGCGATACATTTAGGTATACACAAACGGTCGTTCCATTATGGTTGTACGACTTTTATTTATGACTTTCAACGTGGTAAACGTTCGTTCTGAACCAAACTGTGTGCGTCGTCGTTGCTAAAACAGCGGCGCGACGTCGACATAATTTCCACGATGACGCAGGATTCGAGTAAAGTATTTTATTATTATTATTTGTTCGTGATGAAAATACTATACCTACGGTAATTCGATTTGAATGCACGTCGAACGTGTCACTATTAGGTTTCTAAAAAGAAAAAAAAACATATAGGTATATGTTTTATTATATTTTTGTATACAATGTGCAATGAAGGGCTGCCTTACAAATAACGCGCGTCCGAACAAAATGTCAATCAATGTTTGAAAATGCCTGTAGTGCCGTAGTTGTATTACTATTTTTTTTTTTTTATTATTATTATTATGGCAATTTTTGTGGAGCACCAATATGAAAAAAAATAATAACGAGAAGACGTACAGTCAGCTGCAGACAGATCGTCTACAGATCAATTCAGCACGAGTATTATTGTAATTTGTCACACACTCGCGTACTCGTATATCTAATAAAATATTTCTAAATAATATTTGTTTATTTGTATATGTTGTTTAAATGAATAGTAATAATATTTACGATCCACTCGATTCAGTAATTCGATAAATCACCTAGGTTTTAACGATGAAACGTATACAAGTTATTGTTAATAGACGTCTGAGTTAACGGATAAAAAAATTAACTCGAATGAGTCAAGTTATGAATAACTGAACAAAAAAAAGATATTTTTTAAAATTCGACAAAAAAAATTGATTCAACTTATTAAGGTGAACTGTGAACAACTTAAATCATCATTTTCACTGTTGTCGTAAAACCGATTAAACCGTCTAAAATGAACTTCCAAGGGATGACCGACGAAAATTATGCTCGTTGCATAAAAGTTTTAAATATTCTAAATAACTACGCGTAAAGTTCAATGTGTTGTTTGTTTACAGTGTTTCCGTGCGGTTTTATCAAAGGATCCGTCAACGACCCATGCAATTTATTTATATATCACCTTTAATTTAAGTATACTTGTTACGACAATAATTACCATACGGAAACGAGAATCGGTATCATAATAATAAATTATATTAAACGACTCGGGGGATGAACTTGAGAAAAAAAAAAATTATCGTCGAACCAGAATCGTTGTAATAATGATAATGTAACTAAGTCAATAATAATGTACGGTCACGGAGCGTGTTAAATAATTTATATACCAGCATAAATGCGAGCACGTGCTGTTTTATCATTATTCCGCAATCTCTATGTAGTATTTTATTACGCAATCTTTGTACAACGTTACACACAATCTAACGATTTATCGTATTTGAACCAACTGTATACGTTACATTATAATAATATGTTGATATGTTGATTGGAAAATTAGAAACGAAAAATGTAAAGAAAACGATTATTCGCTGGCTTTAAGTATTTTTGTTTACATAAACAACAATATAGTATCTTATCAGCTATCATTAACCGCTACCGCGGCAGTTGCTGACGTTTAACATTCGATATCCCGTATAAGCGTTGAAATATTTACAGCAGACATCGGAACAAATAAGTTTAAAGAAATTCATTCGTGTGTTCAAAGTTCAAAATGTATGAACAAAATCGGAAATAAGTTCATTATTTCTTTGAATCGACTATTTTTTTTTTTTTTAAATTAATCTCATATTTCCAATGAATTTAAACTTTAATTAGATCGTAAATTTTAAATTTTGAGTTTCTAGAAAAATACTTTAAGCAGTTTTACTATCAATCCAACCACAGTTTAAATAATTCTAAATAGGTAACTTAAATGTTGTTATATTGCTCGGTAAAAGTACTGAGATGGCAAATTGGAAAGTGGTTGGAATTTTAAAATGTCTTCATATAATAATACCATCATACAATTACACGATGTGTAATAAAAATACTAAGAATAGGTATGTCGAGTCATTAAAAATCTTTGTCGAACTGAATATAAGTTAATATACAAAATGTACTCGAACGAAGTAAGTTAATTTAGAAAAAAATACTGGTTCAATTTTATTCCTATGGATCAGTTCAAAAACGAGTTTATATTATAAATGATCGTCCCAAGGTCCGGGTTATATAGCTCAGTGTATGTATATTTATTAGAATAATATAGATATTTTATAGAGTGAAACTTTACAAGTGTCGGAATAATTGTACAATTGTACAGTAGAGATAATGATATTATAAAAAATATTATTAAATTAAAAATATTAACATTAAAAAAAAAAATAATAATAATATTGATGCTCATTACGAGGGTGAGTAAACTTTGCCAGACTTACTTTGTTGAGATAGAAGACCGTAGACAAAAAAAGAAAAAAAAAAAAGGAATTTTCCTTATAAAGGGACTTACATAGATATAGTTGATTCTGAATTTTTAACTGTTGTAGGGTTCTAAACCTAATAGGTTTTCTCAGGAGTAAAATAAAATCCATATTTCAGAAATTCTGTCATTCGCCACGTTATTTCGAGAAAAAAAAAATTAAATTTCAAACGTTTTTTTGAAACACTTTTAAATCAAGTATTATGGGACACCATATGTTTTTTTTTAGATGTATAGATTTTTTTTTCTCATAAAATACATGCGTAAAAGCTTTATCACAATATTTTGTAGATTCTGAGAAAAGCAAACCAACGACTATATAATATAATATAGTAGGAAAGTACTTACATACTTATTTCATTTTCGTTCAAATGTATAATTTTTTGGCAGCACATTTATCAGAAATTATTTGCATGAATCCATAATGTACGTGTATAAATACAGAAAAACGAATACAAACAATATTTCAAACAAATTTGGTTTCCAAAGTACGGACAGCGGTTTGGAAAAAATTTTCGAGAAACATAAAATCGATTGTTTAAAAAAAAAAAAAAAAAATTGAATAAAATATACGCCCGATCTCGTTCTCATAATATAATTTTGTTCGTACGGATATTGATAATGGTGGTAAAAAGTCCTGTTTCGGAACCTGTAATGCCGACTCGCTAGTTCGGACGAGTGAGTGTTATCCTTCGGTGAACGTCAAAGATGTCCGTTTCCGAACTGGAAAATAATCATAATGTCAAGTACCATGCGAGGTCTATGGATCCAAAATAGTACTTAACCGGGTAGGTAATATGCGGCTTTTTGAGGTTAGACTTAAAAAACCAAAATAAATCATAAATTATTACCCATGCTGTTCTTTAATTTTTACGAACATATAATGTAAAATATCATTAAATTAAACGAAAAATTGATAAATTTTCAAAAATTTTAGTCATATGAACATACCTTCAATCAGGTTTGGTTCAAAGTGCTCTCAGAAAAAAGTGGACTAAAACTGCTCAGTTAAGCGATGTCATAATTAACACAGATCAGCATAGCCTAGAGCACCCCGACCTTACCTTACTAAATATTTTCAAATTTATCGAATAATTGAAATCGTAGATAAGTGAAAAATTGATAGCGTCGGTATACGGATGTACGTACATTTTGTCTCGTTATGTATAATCCAAAAAATCCGGCTTTCGTATTGTAATTTTTAAAATATCCGTCTTGCCACTTATTTTTACAAGACCGACGAGCTGCCGCCGTTCATAACGCAGCGAGACACGCTTAAGTTAAGTTTAGAGTAATTTAAAATGTGCAGCACCCGGAGCAGAATGACAAACACACAAACCGCATATACTTAGCCGTATACAATTCCGAGAAACGGCATATTGGTACGTCCGTAAAATTATATTATTCTGGTATATAGCGAATAATAATTATTTCGGTTACCCACCTTGTAACCCAGGTATCTACGACCGCCGCAGACGCAGACGACGCATTTCCAAGGAACCTTATATAATATCGCGACGTGTTTATAAATCGAAATTAATAATTATTATTACGCCAGCGTGAGGAGGCGTTACATTATAAATGACAATAATAATTATAATTATAATTGTCTACCCAGAATTATAATATTATAATATTATAGTGTGTTCGGTGAGTTTTCGTGTTCTGCGGTGGCAGACTCCCCGATGACATCGCGGATCAATTTGAATTGTCCGGACAAATCGTGAAATATGTCTACTTTTGAAAATTCCTATTAGTATTTTCAGAGAAGAAATTCAGTTATTATATAGTTATTACTTTAAAGTATGCTAAAAGGAAAATTTACATGATCCAAAATTTGTATTTTACAGAAATCCAAAAAACTAAAGAATGGTTTTTCAGAACAATTAAAAAAATCCAACATGCGTTTTTCTAAAGCATTTTAGACTGAACAGCTCAAAACTGTCATTAAAATGTCAAATTTTAGTCGTAAACTATATTTTTATTCGTTAGCAATATTATCAATCGTTACTTATGGATATAAATTAAATGTCTTTATCTACCCTACCTCTCCAAATTTCCATCTACAGTAATGGCGCACACTTCAACTGAATCAGCTCTAATTTTTTAAATTTTTACATTGGAGCGATTCTTTTAGTCAACAATCACATGTTTACAGACAGAAAAATAATCATTTAATGTTATACAAATTTTAAATATTTTATAGTGTTTGGTTTTTATTTATTTGTCAGACACTTGACGGTTTCACTGAATTTGTATTGTGAGGATCTATAAGGACGGAAAATCGCGTAAACGAAGACAGTGGGTACTTTAAACAAGTCGTTTTACGAATTTCTCAGCATTTGAAAACAAAAAAAAAAGCTTTCGGATAACTGTACGAGCAACCTTTACGAGTATACAGCGTTTAATACTTGTTTATCATGAAATCCACTCGATAAAGGATTTCTTATGTTCTTATGGATCGTTTGCACGCCACACGTTCGAATTCAGAAGCAATAATAACAATAATAGACGATCGCAACATAAAAGAAATCTCTGTCGTGCGTTTTTAATACAACCAAGTATATTTATTTATT